TTTGCTTTACTTACCATCTTTTTTATCTAGATAAATTGAGAAGTCCTCACCAATTTGAGGCATATAAAAGAACTCTCTTGGGAGGTTTCCCAACCCAAAATCACAATTGTTTGTTTAAAGTCTATTACTTGGGGCGCAGGTATATAAAGTCATTCAAATCTATTAGAACTCTAAGTTGCTGACAGTGGCATGCTAACATAAAAGAAAGTTGATTCTTGAGACAATTAGTGGTCAAAAGGTCGATAGGGAATTTTACTTAAAGCTTTGAAATAGGCTCAAAAATAAAAAAGGGTAAACATGTGATCAAACATAAAAGGTAAGACATGAAACTAAGCCCATATGCTAAGCTAAGACTCAAAATGGTGCAATTTTTCATAAACCTTGGCTCTAGATACCACTTGAAGGGAAAAATTAGGTGTAGGGATTTCTAAAATCCCTAGAAGCTATGAGAGAACAAATCTTTTAGCCTATGCATATCAAATATGAAATCAAATAAAAGCGGAAGCAAGAAAAAGCTAGAGATTCATGCAAGTCTCAACCTAGGTCCCAATCTTGATAGGTTTATGAAAGTTTGCACCCTTGACACTAATATCACATATTAATTAAAGAGAATGTAGAAATTGAGGCGACCTTTGGAGCGTACCTTGAATCCCAAAATGGTATTCAAGTAGAGGGAGTTGTCCCTTAGTTGTTGATTCTCCACCTTGTTCTCCAAATAGACACAATGTGGTTATGCCTCCCCAAGTATCTTGACCAAGGTAGAATGAGAATGAGTAAATAAGGAACCAGGAGAAGAAGAAGAGGTGCTAGCCTTTCTTCTCTATGGTGGCCGACCAAGGTAGTGCTTGAGAGAGAGGCTTGATGTTTTCCTCTTTTCCACAATGCCTAACTTGAAACCCTAAGGAGGTGTTGTGCTATGGCTACAATTATATAGAGACATATTGTCATACATGTGCCACTAAAGAGACCCCATTTGCCGCACCGTCCTCTTTCTTGGCATATTTGGGCTACTTTGGTCTACCACATTAATCTTATACTGTGGCACACTTTGCGGAAGTCTATAAGGTCCAATTTCCTTTAAATGTTTAAGTCATGTAGGACCAAAACTAAAGTTTCATAACTTTAATTGATTAATTAAGCTAATATAATTAGTTTAATTGATTAATTAAGCTAATCTAATTAGTTTAATTGATTTAATGACTTAATAAATTAAATCACTAACTTGTCTAACAAGCATTGGTCCTAGTCAATCTTGTGTTGACCACGTCAAGTCTCGGGTCAACGGTTTGACCTTTGACTTGACCTTGACCTTGACCAAGCCTCAAAATCATTTATTCTCTTTTCAATTCTCTATCCATACCTTTTCAGTGTGCGATCTTATAGGTTCTAATTAGAGAGGTCGTGGGTAAGAATGATTACTTCTAAACTTAATGTGAATTATATACCTTTATACAATTCTCCCTATTGGCGAAGGCTAATTGTGATTATTCCTTACAGGGCTTTCACAAATCATGAGTGACACCTAGCAGTATTTCATGACTACACAGCTAAATAGAATTCATTTTGAGAACCTAGTTAGTTTGTGATTACAATGCAATTCAGTCATTCTCTATTACAATACTTTATGTCGTGTTGTTGGGATATGGTTAACTTGTGTCAAATCCTAACATGACATCTTTAGGTTATATGATTCACTTGGATGTAATTGCAAATGTTCTGTTTCAATTCTCATCCTTTAAAGATTCAACAAATTATATCTTTAGAGTATTCTCTCTTCTTACTAAGAGTAAAGATTCCTTGTTGTACATTCACATGCCTCTGTGCATATGTTGAACACTTTTAAGTCGCATCCTTTTGAGACTGTATAGTGTTCTAAAAAATAAACAGCTCATACACAAGACAACAATGATGTCTCAGGTCTAAGGACTAATTTGCATTATCATAACTTAGAATTCTTTGTTTGACACTTGTGAGTAAGACTTCTATACAAGAATTCTTGAGTTCATCGTGTTCAATGAACTCCATCTCTATAAAGCACCTACACACCTGTCTTAGTGTCTCTCCATTGTCCAATTGGAGATCCTATGACCAGGAATAGTTTAGGATTTGATATTACTATGATGGAAACGTCTCATGAATCTAACTTCTTTAGACTGCTTTCCATTCATATCTTTATCTATGGACTTGTTACTTTATGTACATTATGTATCTTAGAGCAACATTCATGCCCCTTTGATTATATTATATTATATTATATAATTTGAATATTCCTTTTTTTTATTGGCTTCTAGGGCATATATCTAACATCAGAATCAAGGGAGCATGTTATCCAAAAAAAAATCTCAAATTGTACTCTTTTCTCTTTGTCCAAGAGTTTGTCCCACTGAGTTTTACTTGGCTAGGTTTTAACATGGCAATGTTGCACATCCGTGACAACTCAATAATATACTCGTTTTCCTATCTAGAATTTTTTCTCCATATGAATTTTACTAGTTATGATTTTTTTTCCCCCGAAACAGTCTAGAATCCATTGAAGAACAGGGCACAAGCCCAGATACAACAAAAAGAACACATTCAGGAGGTTCTTGCAATACAGAGACTAAAACAACAACACCAACTAAACACAAGTATTACAAGATTGTTAAAAGACAGAATACAACTTTAAACCCATCTAACAAGGAGTTACAGATGAGGAGAACCCAAATCCTTGCAGCATCGAGTACTTAAAGAAGATCAAGACAGAGAACAATCTCTCAAACTTCATGGGACAGGAAACACCTCAAGAATGGAGGGCATAACTGCTCAACTCCACCAGGACATTCCAAAGAATATCACAACATCTCCTAATCCCCTTGATCCCCAAGCACAATAAATGTAGATCCACCAAATTCAGCAGCTCCACCTCCAATACAAAAAGATCTACACGAGATCTACCACAATAGCATCAAATCTAGCAAGATCCTCCAAAAACCAGTCACAAAAGATTGGAATGCAAACCCTAAAGAAAAAGGAAAGAAAACAAAACCTTACAAAAGCAAGGAGCAGACAGAACCCAACAAAAGCTGGGAGGGGAAACTCTCCACAACATAACGGGGGGGAGAGAGGCCTGGATTATTAACCGAAGGGGGTGGTTCCCGGGGTTCTCCTCTGGAACCAAGGAGAATTTTAGATTTGGAGTTGGTTTTGGGTTGGGGGAGGAGAAGAGTCGAGAAGAAGAAAAGTTTAGAGGCAAGAGGCTTTATTTTGCTAGTTATGTTTTAATGAGGAAAATTCTATGTATAGTGGGTATCCGAGGGTTGTTATGAATTATCTTATTAGGCCATCCCCAATGGGGGCTCTATTTGGGGCTCAACCACCACAAGGCTCACATATATACAAACTCTCTTTTAAAAGGCATTCCCAATGGTGCAAAATTGGGGCTCTAAAACTTAAAGCCCAACCGGAGTAGTAGCTAAATGTATGTGCTTGGTTGAAGCCCTTGAAACCGAGTGAGTCCGCAAGGAAAAAAGTTGCAGCCCACTTTTTGCAACTCTCTCACTTGCCTTGTGATTGTACAAAGCCTACTTGCCATTTTTTTATTTTGTCAACAGCAGCTGACCTAGCATGCTAAATCAATTATTCAAAAGCTGCGTAAACAACCATATTGTCATACCACTTTTTCAAAGGCAACGGCCATATTTCCATGCATGCAATTTAGTTATTTTTAAAATGTTTTATTATTTAAATTCCATTGTACTTTGTTTTATTATTTAAATTCCATTGTACTTTGTTTTATTATTTTAAAAATGTTCTAGTTTGTTTAACTTAATGAAATGATTGGATTCAAGAACATTGCAATTTAGTTATTGAATTCTAAACACACAACTCTAAATTGCAAGGACATTGCAATTTAGTTATTGAATTCTAAACATACAATTTAAATATAAAATTAATGTTGTGCATCTTGTTTTAATTTAACCATGTTGTATCTTATTTATGAAATAAAATGTTGATTTCCAAATCTTATCCAAATTTTGATTTTTTTTGGTTGAAACATTCACACCAAAAACAAAAAAAAACTAACATAACATGAACAAACATTAAAGTAAAATAGTTAACCAAAAATTAAAAAAAAACACCACGTAAATCAAATTACATCATAAAAAAAAATATAGAGCCCACCATGAATATAGGGCCTCCCATTGTGAGAGAGATTTCTTTAGAGCCCCAAAAATTCCATCGGAGCTCTAAATGAGGAGTAATTTTTGAGTGTTCTCGGTACAACACGTGGTTGGTGTACCATCCAATAGACGGAAGACATATGGAATATGTCCAATGCAGTCCGCCATATGTCATAAGAAGAAATGCAGTAAGTTGGATAATAATTCCACATGTTCTATGTTTATTGGATGGTACACCAGACACGTGGTGTACCTGGAACATTTAAAAATTTCTCCTAAATGAGGCTCTATAAACCCTTTTTAGAGCCCCAACCATTGGGGATGGCCTTAATATGACTATCCATTTAGAGATTGGTATGCATTATCCAAGTATCAACTTAGAGGTATATTACCTATAAAGCACAATTATTTTCTCATCTACCTTTCTTTTCTTATTTTCATAACAATTAAAAAAAAAAAAATTGTTTTGGACTGAAATAGTAACGGAATTTTGTTAGACCAAAAAATAATAGTCAAATTGGTAAAATGATTTCCAGTACCTTGTTGTATTCGTGACTCATTAATTTTTTTTTTGGTGAAAGTTAAGACCCAGGTTTGTCATGACCTAAAATCTCTAAGGAGAAACATGTATTTATCATGACCTAAAATATACTATATAATTATCAAAATCCACAACTTTTGTATTTCGCTCATAAATGATGACTGCTTAATTTCACATAGACTTTTGTAAAGTTGTTGAAAGTCAGGACTAAATACATCCAAAGTTTTATTTAATTTTAAATTTGAATAATTTTATAGACTCCATTAAAATCCATTAAACTTTTAATTGTGAGTAGTCTTGTAAGTGACACCGTAAAACAGAATAATACGAGCAGTAAAGCCACGCTCTCCTTCCCAATTTCTCAGCTTCAGAGACAGAAACGCAAGAAAACCTTAAACCCCCCTTCTCTCTCTCTCTCTCTCTGCTCCGATGGATTTCCAAGTGGTCGTCTTAGCTGGTGGCACCTCAAAGAACCTTGTCCCTCTCGTCTCCAAGGTCCTGAAACTTTTTTCCACTTGATTTCCCGGAAAGATACTATCTCAGTTCGATTTATTTATGTCCCTTTCTCTCCAATTTTCCCACCAGCCAAACACTCGGTTCCTATTTCTACAATCATTACTGTTTCCTCTTCTTCTTTTTCCTATTACTTTACTGTTTATTTTTGATGATTTCTACTCTTTTATAATGACAGGAGGTTCCAAAAGCTCTGCTTCCTGTGGGGAATCGTCCGGTTATCTCGTACGTTCTGGAGCTCTTAGAACTCAGCAACCTTAAGGATCTCATTGTTGTAGGATTTCTTCTTCTTTCTCTCTCTAACCGTTTCATTTCTCTGCTTATGCTCTCTGTTTCATTGCTCATGGCGGTTTTCATGGGTTAAGATAGTTTGTGTGATGTCAAGTTTTCGTCTTTCCAGCAGCAACCAAACAGCGCTCCTTATTGATTTTGCGTTGTGTATATTCATTCTAGGTGGTTGAAGGGCAGGATGCGGCTGTACGCGTTGGCAGTTGGATTTCAGGGGCTTATGTTGATCGTTTACATGTTGAGGTACTTACCCAACTTTGAAATTTATGTTACTTTATTTTGTTTCTTTTTAAATGCTATGTTGTTGTTGTAGTAGTAGTTGTAGTTTTTTTTGTTTCGGATTAATGGATCAAATACAATTTGTACATAAGAGAACACTTAATGTCTAACAATTAGAAAAGCTAGTCTTGGAGTCCTTGTGTAAGTTTTTGGAAATGTGTCAAAAACTGAATGATCTTTTGGCACATATGTTGTGATGGCTCTTTTTGGGTAGTTTTGGGGGAGAGAAATAGAATGGTATTTATTTCATGATGCTTGGGTTAAGAAAGTGGATCACTTGTGGGAGAGGGTCTGTGTTGGGCATCCTTATGAGCTTCAATATCTACAGAGCTCAAGGACTTTTTTTTGTTTTTATTTTTATATTTCTTCTGATTGGATGCATTTTTTTATATGTTGCTGTTCTTTGGCGGATGTAATTATTCTTAGCTGTTGATTAGTAGACTTTTTATGTCAGCCCACCTTGTCCTCTGCTATCTACTCTTTCATTTTTTTTTTTTCTTTCTATGAAGTGAAAAAATGATTCTTATCAATAACACATCAAAAAAAAAAAAAAAAAAAAAA